GACAGTGGCTTCAGCCGTCTCTCCCTCAGGAATTTGAAGATCTGCAGGTAGCCTTGGTGCCCAAAGCGATGATCTTCTGGCATACTCAGCACAGCAAAGTTACCCGGTCTTTGACTGATGTTTCTCATCAACAAACGACCCTGAATAAGTACCCATCACACCCTGGCAAAGCATGATTTCCAGATATTTTCTGATGGCAAAACCACCTTCATTGCGGGCAAAGAAAAAAACGGAAGCACTGATCAGCTGGGGGAACGTGACTCGCTCTCCGCTTGACACCGCGTCCACCGCGCGAGAGAAGAAGTCCGTCAGTCGTCGGCACTTTTGGCTTCGTGCGCCCTGGGGCCGCTGCCAACAAGCATTTCACAGAGCTTCTGAGGCACGCAAAATGTAGGATTGTGGAGAATTGGCGGGCCTGAAGGGGAAATACCAATGTGCGAACGCCTTCAAAGGCTGCTCCTATGGCAATGACAGCACGGCGCCAGTTGGTTCTTGCATGTCATTGTTTGACACCATGCTCTCACGCTTGCGCTTGTGGGTTTAAGCGAAAATCTAGTTCGTCCAATGCCCTCTTTCCATCTTCAGTTCTTCGGGCGCCCTTCTTGGCTCTTAGCAATTCATACTTGCAGTTGGCAGTGGATTGTTCATCCATGCAAGAGTTGGCTGCGCTGTCGAGACAAGTCGGAGCAGAATTGCGTGCCTTGCGCTGCTCCTAGAACCACTCCTTGCTACCACCACTTGACTGGGCCTGAGCTTCAGCCCTGGAAAGATCGCGCAGTAGCTTGGACTTCTGCTCAGCTTGGAAGACCGGTTTGACCTGTCGTATACTACCCCACTGTGGTGGGGCCTTTCCCGTCTTCCACAGATGGTTGTTCAACGCCCAGCTCCCCATTTCGGCTCCCTGTTTGAGCTTTTCCTGTGCCTTGCGCGCGCCCTCCTCCACACACAATATCGCAATACCGCAGGATACTTAGAAAATTGCGGTCTTCCTAGCCCTTGCTCGCCACGCCCAAAATCAATAGATTGTGATGTGGTTTGGGGAACATCGATTGATCAGGTTACGATCTATGATGCGGCCCTGCACTTGCAAAGGGCCCATTACAATGACTGACAAGGATCTGCGGTCGCCACATCCTGACATCTGTGAAGCGCTGCAAGTAGTTCACGAAAAGCTCCCAAAATTCTGAAGGCCGGTGCCCAGCGTGTCAAGCCACTGTTTGACATGCCCAGTATTTGCACGCTGTCATGCTTGTGGTTGTTGGATAATTCAGATAAAGTCCGATTTGCACAGCCAGCGACAGGCATGATATCCTATGAAGACTGCTGAGCGCATTGGAAAAAAAAGCGCGCCCGCCGAGACATGGCTGCCCCTGCCTCCTTCTCGCGCGCAGCCCAGAACAACCAAGCCTCACTGATCTTGGCGGTTGCGGAGAAGGAGTGGTGGGCGAAATGCACTGCCAAGTCTGCCAACGTCGCCTCCTCGCGAAAACGTGTTCAGACCCAGCACCACTTTCTTTGCTTCACAAAGGCTCCAACCGGTGCTACCCGAGCCAAGACCAAAACCGCAGTTCCCAACCACAAATACACGCGTAAGCCCCTGCAGGGTTTGGGGTCGACTGCCCCGGAAGGTTGATTGAAACAAGCATGTGACCACTGGTTGGTTCAATTTGCTTCAACATTTTGGGCGGCCTGGTTTGGGTTGGACTTGCCACACAATTGAAGCAGCCTAAGTTGTGACCCATTCAATGTCCGCGAACACATAAAGTTACGCCTCATCTTTCTGCGCTTGTTGTTTCTTGGTATATGTTATGTATATATATATATACACATATAAGTACAGTCTGCAAGGTGTGCATTAGGCAGTTTGAGACAAGCATGGTCATATTTTGCGGGCTGTAAATTTATGCAAAATTTGCTTTTGTGGATTCAACTTGGATGGGGCGGAACCTTGCCAAATCCCTTTCCCAGCAACGCATCTGACAACCCACCAAAACATACACAACCAAAACACACACACACACCACGTAGGAAAGACTACAACAAACCCAACATGGTCCGAAAGCAGTGCTCCCAAACCCATATAGTTGAAACCGCCTAAGTTGTGACCTTGTCGAGTGCGAAATTGGTTTTGGGCGTGTGTCAGGAACATGGTTCCTGGGCATAATGCGGTTGTGTTTTGGCATGTGTTAAATACACACATATATATATATATATATATGTATATATATATATATATATTTGGTATATTCGTATATACAGGCTCCAAGGTCTACATGTGGCAGTTTGAGACACGATAAAACAAGAAGCCAGGAAAGAAACTATTAAACATCCTAAGGTAACATAATTGTTACAACAACATCATGAAGAACTGAACCAAAAGAAAAAGCACAATAAACAACAGAACCAAAACAAGCTAACTTGATCAACGTTTTTGAATAATCGTGAAATCAACAATGAGTATAATAGCAGTTTTATGAGAAGATGTGGAATTGTTGAACACCAAAGTGCCAAAGAGCACCACGGGTAAAAAGGTAGAACTACAGTACCGATTTATTGGGCGTCGCTTCAAGAACGAACTATTTTGAACAATTGAAGGACACAATGGAAGCGACGCAAGGGTCTTTCATAATTATAGAAATGAATTATTTGAAAGCAGAACCGAAAAACACAAAAAGGAATTAGACAGAATAAGAGACATAATACACGTGCATTTCCGACCGTCATTGTGATAGACAAAAAGGCACCAAGATCTAGTCAGTTTGGCAAGTAAAGATGCTCTTGACATTCAGAAGCAAGAAGAACTGAACCGAAGAGCCCAAGATATGAACTATGAAACATCGGATGGTGAACAACAGTCTTCCATAAATGAAAGGTCAACGGAAGCGAAAATACCGAATGTGGGACTTGAACCCCGAATAAAACTTTGGAGAGAACAACATGATGAAACGCTAAGTGCAGTTTCAAAACAATCAAGATGGTGTAACAGCTCATTCAACGGCATCAGATGATGAAATGCAGCGTTCGAACCCATAGGAAACGCAAACATACAAGAGGAAAGGATGACTCATGTGTTGATGTAGAACACGTAAATGTGTCTTCCATAAGAGAGATAAACCAGAACACACAAGCAAACCATTGATTGTTCAACTAATATGAACCATTGCTCACGTGAACAACTAAAAAAAGAACAATGCAAGCTGCCAGTTAAAGGAAAAAGGAGCGAGAGGCTAAAAAAGAAAACAAAGTCTTCGTAAGTACAGTTGAGAAACTCATACACGATAGAATGTGACAACAACTAGAAAAGGATGATGCTTTAATATAAGATTGGAAGCGTGGAGAAAGGCAAAAGAACACGTGAAGCAAGGGGAAACGGGGCATCATCATCATATTGATGATGCCAGAAGTAGCAAATAAAATCAAGTCATGGATTGAGATTAAAGACCCGTAGCAAAAGAAAACACATGAAACAGACTCAAGGAAACGACCCGTACCATGATACCCAGCAGCTAATGAGCAAGTGTAACACGGAGGAATTGACAAAAGACAGCGTAAATGCCGTGGCTGTAAAATATTCAACAACAATGCTAAAAAAGCAGATGATATATCGCCTGACTGCCTCATTGATAATATCTTGAGTTTTGCCAGAAATATGTACTCTTACAAAGTGTTCCATGAAACATCAGCCTGAGCAAATGGAAGAACGCATATGGTATGTGACAAGGTTAAGCAAATGTCCAACGAGTGAGGAAGTGAGTGAGTGCAGTGAGTGAGTGAGTGAGTGAGTGAGTGAGTGAGTGAGTGAGTGAGTGAGTGAGTGAGTGAGTGAGTGAGTGAGTGAGTGAGTGAGTGAGTGAGTGAGTGAGTGAGTGAGTGAGTGAGTGAGTGAGTGAGTGAGTGAGTGAGTGAGTGAGTGAGTGAGTGAGTGAGTGAGTGAGTGAGTGAGTGAGTGAGTGAGTGAGTGAGTGAGTGAGTGAGTGAGTGAGTGAGTGAGTGAGTGAGTGAGTGAGTGAGTGAGTGAGTGAGTGAGTGAGTGAGTGAGTGAGTGAGTGAGTGAGTGAGTGAGTGAGTGAGTGAGTGAGTGAGTGAGTGAGTGAGTGAGTGAGTGAGTGAGTGAGTGAGTGAGTGAGTGAGTGAGTGAGTGAGTGAGTGAGTGAGTGAGTGAGTGAGTGAGTGAGTGAGTGAGTGAGTGAGTGAGTGAGTGAGTGAGTGAGTGAGTGAGTGAGTGAGTGAGTGAGTGAGTGAGTGAGTGAGTGAGTGAGTGAGTGAGTGAGTGAGTGAGTGAGTGAGTGAGTGAGTGAGTGAGTGAGTGAGTGAGTGAGTGAGTGAGTGAGTGAGTGAGTGAGTGCGTGAGTGGGTGGGTGGGTGGGTGGGTGGGTGGGTGGGTGGGTGGGTGGGTGGGTGGGTGAGTGGGTGAGTGGGAGAGTGAGTGAGTGAGCAGTGAGTGAGTTAGTCAGTGAGTCAGTGAGTCAGTGAGTCAGTGAGTCAGTGAGTCAGTGAGTCAGTGAGTCAGTGAGTCAGTGAGCCAGTGAGTCAGTGAGTCAGTGAGTCAGTGAGTCAGTGCGTCAGTGAGTCAGTGAGTCAGTGAGTCAGTGAGTCAGTGAGTCAGTGAGTCAGTGAGTCAGTGAGTCAGTGAGTCAGTGAGTCAGTGAGTGGGTGAGTGGGTGAGTGGGTGAGTGGGTCAGTGGGTCAGTGGGTCAGTGAGTGAGTGGGTGAGGGAGGCAGGGAGGGAGGGAGGGAGGGAGGGAGGGAGCGAGTGAGCGAGCGAGCGAGTGAGTGAGTGAGTGAGTGATGGGTGGGTGGGTGGGTGGGTGGGTGAGTGAGTGAGTGAGTGAGTGAGTGAGTGAGAGAGTGAGAGAGTGAGAGAGTGAGAGAGTGAGTGAGTGAGTGAGTGAGTGAGTGAGTGAGTGAGTGAGTGAGTGAGTGAGTGAGTGAGTGAGTGAGTGAGTGAGTGAGTGAGTGAGTGAGTGAGTGAGTGAGTGAGTGAGTGAGTGAGTGAGTGA